TCAAATACCAAGGACTCTGCCACAGAGAGGCTCTGTGAGCACACTGCTCATAGAACCCGTAGAGTCAAGCTAACAGCCACAGAAGAACAATGGGGGCTACAAACCTTTGTCAAAGTGGCAGGCTTCAGTAGTCAGAGATGATTCCAGAGATTTTTTCCAACCTAAACAATTAAAGCATTTTAAAGGCAGATGTAGCACTTCTGGGGAATTTCCTCCAGGCTACAGACTGGCAGGTGGAAGCTGTAGCAGAGCTGATGTCCGTGAACTGTCCAGATCCCATCCTTTGCATTTCACTGCGAGTCACTAAGGCCGTTTCTCTAGTGGTGACTTGGGGAAATGGATCACTGAACTCAGCACCTCTGGGAGTGGGAGTTGTATTTGTGGAAACTGGATTTTCCAGCTCTTTCCAGATAAAAACACCTTGGGTTTTTAGTTTTGGTTGCATAGGTAATGGCTGGTCAATTTTAGTAAAAAATTCTCCTAGAAATGTGTTTTGTTTTTTAAACACTTATTTTCCATTGTATTTGAAAGGCAGAAGAACAGATAAAGAACTGAAGATATCTTCCATATGCTGGTTTCACATCCCAATGCCTGCAACAGCAAGGGTTGGGCCAAACAGAAGCCAGGAGTTCACCAAGAACTCCATCCAAGACTCCCAAGGCCTTGAGTCAGCACTGCCACTTGCTAGGTTCTGACTACCATGGAGTTGGATCAGACAGGATCATACAAGCCACTACCTAGGATCCATGACCAGAAACAATACCTTGTCAGCAGCTCCTAAGACAAGAGCATAAACACAGTCACTTAACATACAGAGAAACACTTTCACTGGGCTCCTCTTGGTTATTTAACACACCATTATCACTACAAAAAGGATGAAACAGCATAAGGAGTAACTGTTCCGCTCTCACTGAAAAGGACAAAACAGGGTGCCTCTACTCCCTCGAACATCCACAAACTCCTTAGCGAGAGCATTTATTTGCATAACTCATAAAATATTGCTCATAGGAATTAAAATGTATCGGTAGAGTTGCAGAGGCTTTTTTTGTTTTGTTCTAGGATTTGAAGAGATTTCATTGCAATGATTCATTATCCATCAAGGATAGAGGATCTGGGATAGAAAGTAAAGATGTGATATTTGATATTTTTTAAACCTGTCTTACAATGTCTATCAGTCAACAACAAGTTAAAGAGTGATGGTTCTAAAGGCAACATAAATATTTGTCATAAAATTTGGGACTACAGAATATAAGAACAGTCCATGTTACGATGGTTTTTGAAGACCTTCTTGTAACTACTTTAGTCGATTTGTATTTTTTTAGCATGGATAGTACATTGATGATAGTGTTACTTACATTTAGAGATTGGAGTTGACTGTCTATTGCTTGGTAACTTAGAATTTCTCTTTTTTCCATTCCCTGAAAATAGAATTTTAAAAAGCGGGGTGAGCTGGAAAAGGAACTTGAAGTTCAACATTCCAAGAACTGATTTTTCAGTGCAAACAAACCTTAAGGTAAGCTAATAACAATAGGATTTTTCTTTCATTTAAAATAGAAACGGAGACACGTCGGGTCGCTTAAAACTATTTGAAAAGTAGTATTTGTCATTAAGTCCGAGGTGTCAATGAATTAATAAGAAATATACAAAATATAAGTAATCTAAATTTTGAGAGAAGTGAAATTCTGTCTTTTGCAACAAAACAGATGTAACTGGAGATCATTATGTTAGTGAAGGGCGTTAACCCTCTCTTGTAGGTGTCCTTCAGAAAACACCTTTTCTGATTTGTGGTAACTAATGCACAGAGTACCAAAAAATGTGCATAGAAATGAAATTGACAGTTTGAGATCCTTCTCTATATTTTAGGTAACGGTGGTTTCTGCACTCATTTCTTGCTTGAATTCTCTCTTTAGTGTTATTCCTTATTTGTTATTATTTAGTGTGTTCTTAATTTGTTATCATAAAGAAATTTGAAAGCATCTTGTAAAAACTGAAAGAAAAATAAAGAAAACACAGGAGGGAGGGTGTGAGGAAGGGTGTGGTGGGAAGTGTCAGTATACCCATTAAACTGTATATTGGAAATGCAAAAAAAAAAAGTTATTGAAAAGAACAAGCAGAAAAAGGAAAGAAGGAGGGGGCAAGTGCGGTTAGCTTCTTAGACTTGATCTGGGACATGAAGTCTGTTTTCTTCACATTAAGAAACACTTTTTTAAATCCATCTTGGAATATATGCTTTCACAAACAGGGGTTCATAGAATAATTTAACCAGCTTCTTGATGTCCTCAAATTCTTCCTATGTCCACGCCTGCCACTGTAACAAGGCGGTTAGCTCAGGAGGGGCACACGTTCATCAACTCCAGGGCAAGATGCCAGCCGTGCTGGCTTAGGTAAGGCTGAGGTGACTGAAGTGACAGACTCACACAGGCCGATGGTCACAGTATCCACCGGATACCAAAACCCATAGAGCCTCGATGCGGAACTTCAAAAACTTAATGAAAAACAGAATTAAAAGATAAATTTGCTATAAAGCCAGGTTCTTAAAATCCATGGATACAGGTTTATAATGGTATAAAATTTGCATATAAAGCACACACACACAGCACTGTATACTTTGATTTTTAAAACATATTTTCTATTCAAAAAGGCAGAGAGCTAGACAGACCAAGGGAGATGTCCCATCTATTGAGCCACTTCCCAGAGGCCTGTAATAGCCAGGAGGGAAGCCAAGGGTGAGGCAAGACCTCAATTCCTGTCTTCCAATAAACCTGTCAGGCTGTGCAATAGCAAAAAGCCGGAATTAGGAGCAGAGAAGGAAACAAACCCAGCCACCCTGACAGGAGACAGGGGGTGTTCCACCCACAGGATACACTCAGCCACACCGTTTATTCTTTGCGTATTTTCAATTGGTAGTAGATTGAACCTGTAGACGCGCAGCCTTGTGACCTGCAGGGATTTGGGTTAGAGGCTGGTTAAGAAAAACTTCCCGTTTACACATAATCTTTTCCCTATGCAGACTTGGAAGGATTATCATATTCACTGCCACTATTGGATCACAAATAAATGATACTCTAAAGCTGTAGATGGAGATGAGACCCTCAGAGAAAATGAACAAATATGCGACATTTTTGGCTTAGCAGTGATTTTTCTTAGCCACCTCCAGTTTCTGAGTCTAATGAGCTAGGATGTTTTCTCTCTTTTCCCTCCCCATTGCTATATACACTTTCTGAATAGTGATGAGTGTGGTATGTTAGGATTCCAAGGGATTTTCCTTACCATTGGCAGTGGCTCAGGTATAGGAAGGGTGTCACTCAATGCTTTTCATCTCCCAGACAAGACTGGTTGGCAGGAGTCAGGCCCTGTACATATTTCATGGATGTCCTTCCATGCCAGCCCGACTGAGGATGAAGAGCTGAAATGGCACCCTGACAGCCTGTGTTTCACACAAAATCCCGTGGAGCCAAAAGCATTAACAGAAAATTCCCAGCCTTAGGTTCAGGGATTTCAACAGGCCCATCGCTAGTAGTAGGGTTTGTGTGTTTTGATTTTGGCCAGGTGACTATAACTTCTTGGGTTATTTGGGCCTAAGATAATGGGTACCAACTAACTTTAGTCTGAATACTCTGACTCCCTGAAATACCATGTATGTAAAATATTTATATTATAAATAAATAAGTTGCAAGAATAAATGGATCATTGATTACATTTATTTTATAATTAAATGGTAATTTAACATAATGGTAATTTTTAACAACAAAAGTTGTTGTAATGATGTTACCTACTTAAGACTGTGTTTTTTGGGACCACTGCCTCCGAATTCATCCTTTTGCAGTTAAAGAAAGCTTTGTTTCAACCGTAAAAGGAGACACACGAGTGGGACTCACTTGTCTGTTCTTTAGAATAAGAGATCTTGTAGAAACGTGAGAATCAGAACCAGCTTCCAAGCCCCTGGCTTTGTCCTGACCAAGTCCCTACTCTTGTAGGAATTTGAGGAGTAAATCAGTGATGGGAGATCTTGATTTCAATCTCTTGCTCTCCCTCTAGTTCAACCTTTCAAATAAAAATAAAAATACACAAGTAAAAGAAAAATTTGCTTTTTTATCCATATAAATTCAAGTCACATACAGACTACTATCACCACATACATGTACACATAAACATTAACATTATGCCTGCTCACAGAAATGTGACAGATACTGCACATTTCTACTTTGATATGCTAAACTTTGCAATACTGGCATAGGAAAAACAGAACATTTTCATCCCAAGATTAAGTCAGATCAGTTGGAACTGCGATGGGTAATTGCCAACTATCTGACTTAAATGAAATCCCACAAATGTGGTCTTACAATAAACCTTATGTTGAAGACAACTTAAAGGGTCCACTTCTGCATTAGATTTTCTATGTTGTGGCTTCATTTATTCCATTTTAACGGGTTGATCTTTATGTTCTGACTTTGCAACACTTAGAAACCAAGAGGCGTTACTGTTAGCACACAAGAGGGCAACAGCTGCAACATCCACAATGAAAACAAATCCCACTGCAGTGCACAGTAGGGATCACAAATGACAGGAAAAGTGCATTAACAAGTGTGCAAACAGAGGGCGCAAAACATTGAACCTAACCATATTATTGGCTTAAAGCAGTGTCTGCTTTCAGTCAAGTCTCTGCCATGTAATCCGAGTTCCAGGAGACTCACAAGGTTGTTTATAGCCTGCACAATAGTTTTGGCAAACAGGAAGCACACGGTTTCCAGGCCCCGGGGCACACCCATCCGTTTGGCTGAGGGTCTATACCTTCAGCAGAGTGAGTTCCTCATGTTACACTCCGTACCATGCCTTTGAGGCCTCTGCAATTCCAGGTACTCTCTACACACACTCTAACAATCTCTGCCTTGTTGATTTTTTACATTTGCATGGTAAAAAAAAATTTGGAACATAAGGAAAAAAAATGAAGAATATAACCAAGTCTGTACACCTATCGCCTGGATTCAACCACAAGTATTATGTCATATTTGCATCACTTATAGGTAAAACATTTTAGCATGAATCTCCTAGGAACAACCAATAGGACCAAAACACAGTTAAGAGCGACTCAATGTCTTACACTCATTCTATATTCAGATATATCTAGCTGTCTTGAAAATATCCTAGTTATGGTTCTTGTATCTTATTCAATGAAGCTAAACCTTAAATGACAGCAATGCTGTGTGGGCCATCTGGCTCCAACATCATGATCCAATTTAACAATGGCTTAAATGAGATTATTTTCATCTCACTTAATAATTTGGAGTTTTGCCAGCATGGGACACCTAGTTGGGCTCTTCTGGACTCCACACGTGACTTAATCTGAAATATGGCAGCGATAGCTTCTGCCATCAAGGCCTAGGGAAGGGATGGCGGTTGGTGTACCGTTCTTGAAGGACACGACCCAAATGTTGCATGCCTGGTTTCTGTTTGCATTCTGTTGTAAAGAATGTTGACACACGATCCCACTGGCTGCAGTAGAGGCCGAGGGAAACAGTCTTCATGGTGGCCATGTGGTCAGGCTTCCCTGCTTCTGTTGGCTCTGTGCTTGTAGTAACAATAGTTCGGAAGCTGCATGGAGTCATCACTGTCACGAGGTACTCCTGCAAATGATAGAACTATGACATGCCATATTAAAAACGAATCCCCAGCTCATTCTAATGCAATGAGAGGCTTTTAAAAATAAGACATTTGCTTGAAAGACAGCATGAGGAGAGAGAGAGAGAGAGAGAGAGAGAGAGAGAGAGAGTTAGAGAACAACAGATTTTCCATCCACTGGTTCATCCCTCAGACATCGGCCAGGAACCAGGTACACCACTCCAGTCTCCCACAAGGGTCACGGGCACCCACATATTGGAGGTCATATTCTGATTCCTTCCCAGGGGCATCAGCATATTTGGAACACCAGTAGATCAGCAGGGACCCAAACCAGGCATGTGATACAGAAAGCAAGCCTTGCTAGCAGTTGCATAATCTACTGTGCGACAACACCAACCACAGGGATAGGCTATTATCTAGGGTAAAACTATTTTTTTCTGCTACAATATAAAGCCTCATATCATTAAAATTCATTTTGAGTTCATCCCTTTTTCTTTCCAGGCTTTCTTTATTCTTCTTCTCAGGATATTAACCATCAGGGCTCACAGCTGGAATCATGCTTTCTTCTCTTTACAACTTTACTTCGTTGTTACCACGTTTTGAAAATGAACTTGTTAGTATGTTCCTAAGTTCCTATTGGACAGCATGTTGGAAACCATAACACAACTTTGTAAATCCCACTCAGACTAAGACAAGGAACACTGTGCTTTCCAAGCACTTTTCATAGATCCTCCAAGAACCCCCTCTTTTTTCTCCTAGGTTTAGCAACTACTCTGACCTTTGACACCACGGTTTAGTTCTGTATGCTTTTGAATTTATATACAGAGTCATTACTACACATTCCTTTTTGTCTGACATCTTTCTCAGCGTCACGCTTCTGAGGTTCACTGGCAGTATTATATATAACAGCAGCTTATTCTTTTTGTTGTTGTTGCTTATGGGATTATATGAATATATCAATTTATCTATCCATTACATTTTTGATGAACAATTGGGATGCCTTTGTTTTTGGCTAGTAGAAGTACAGTTGCTATGACTGCTACTCTATGTCTTTCAGTGCACACATGCATATATTTGTAGGGCCTAGAAATGCAAGATTGTAGAATAATGGGTGGTGCATATATACCTTTTTCTTGTTTTATTGCACTTGGACTTCTAGTACATGGCTGAATAAAGGTCATCCTAAACAGTATTCTTGCGTTTCTCTGGACATTAAGAGAAGAAATTTCACTATATTGACATTTAGTATGATAGCAAGTGTTAGAATAGTGTTTGAGATATCATCTGTTACACTGAGGAAATTCTAATCCATTTGTCACGTGTTCTCCTTTAATGTGGAAGAGTACTGAATTTTATCAGATACTTTTTCTATACCTATTAACATTGTTATGTAACTATCCTTTTTATTTTATTAAGGTAGTATATTATCATGTATTTTTGATCCTAGAACAATGCACATGCTTGATTTATCAAGTCTAATGTAAACTACTTTTGCAACTTCAGAAAAACAGAAAAAGTAGAGTATTTTAACTCCAGTGCCCCTTTCCCAATATTTGGGCCGTAGGGATTATCGTGTGTCTTACAAAAATACACTTTATACCTAACCCTTGGAACCTAGGACAATGACATTATTTGGCAACAGGGTCTTTACAAGTGTAATCAAGTTAAAACAGATCCATATTAGATTAACATGAGCCCTAATTTAGTGACTATTATCATAATGAAGAGAGAAAAACCTGGGTATGGACACATCCTTCATAAGGCAAAATGAAGACAGAAGCAGAGATTAGAACAAGGCATGCACATGCCAAAGAATGTCAAGGAATGCTGGCAGCCATGGGAAGCTAGGAAGGGCAAGATACTTCATTTCATTGATTTGGACTTCATCCTAACGACACTGGGGGAGATTTCTGCTTAATCGTGAAAACAACAATGACATGGCAAAAGATGATTATTTACATCATGAACATTTTGAGATAAGACACACGTACGGCACCCAAGTAGATTTATAAGCAATTGGTATCATCAACCAGTAATTCAGAATTGACACTTGGTCTGAGATACATATTTTGGAATCTTTTCTACTCCATTTCTTTTATTGCTTTCAGAGTTTTCTTCCAAATACTAATCTAACATGGAATACCTGTTTAAAAATCATTGGTATCCCCTTCCTTACCCACACGATCCAGTTGAAACTTTCACCTATTAGTGAGAAAAATATCTGTAAAATCTAGCTCCTACCAAACTTTCTAGACTCACACTCAATATATATTCATAAATGTCAACTGGGCAGAATTTATCACTGTTCTCTAACAGAAAGCTCCTTCTCATGACCTTGGGCTTATAACACACGCTGTTTCTTAGAATCAGAATGATTTGGTTATCCTTCTTTGTACCTCAAAAATTTCTCTCCATTCTTTGAGATCTTAGTCAAATGTTATCTGAAACACATTAATTCTTAGCATGTAAATATACACGTATGTTCAGATGTTTGCATGTATGTTCACACAGATTCCTTAGTTTCTCTGCAATAAGTCTTTCAACTTACTCGAGGCTGGATCGGGCCTGGTTGATCGAGACTTGCCCATTCCACTCAAACTTCTTCCAGAAGTTGATGCATCATGTGGGTTAATCAGGGGACAGTAGGGATGTGCAGGGATCGAAGGACTGTTGCACCAAGGACTGCGGTTGGGGAAAAGGGTTGGCGGGAGTTCCTTTTCTCTGTTAAAAAAAAAAAAAAAACCCAAAACCCAAGTTGAGCTCAAAAGCCATTTCATATAATTAAAATAGTGTTGAAGTCACAACTGAATCCAAAGTGTGTTTCAAGACAAAGAGAAGATGGCTCTGCTAGCCCTGTAAGCAGAGCTTGTACCACAATGTCGGAAGCATTTGCCGACAAAGAAGTAACACATTTGGTACCTTGGTCAACAGCTAGCACCAGTTCAAGATGTAATCCTCTGCCACTGTGGCCAAGCACTGCTAAGGACCCAGGGACAACGTCACTTCATCTCCCTGAGCAGTCTTGTTTCTGATAGTGATGCCAGGAGAAGCTGAAGTGACTCAGCAGGGTGGGGGAGAGGGGTTTCTCAGTATTTCCCAGCAAGATCACCAGCCTTCACTGACCCATGAATGTGTGTTGCTCACTCTATGTTTCCACGCTTTTCACATGGGTTTTATTCCATATAGTGTGCTTAAACCACAGTTCATTTTCTCATCACACATTTGTCTACCACCCAGTTATTCCCACAAGCTCAGTTATTGTGGGAAAGATTCAGGAAAACCAACCAAACAGACCTTTACCTCTTAAGAACAGGTTGATCTTGTTCTACCTCTAATGTTGAGATCTCTTTCGTAGGCTGGTCAGGTTTATCTTCAGCTACTGAAGTTTCAGATGTTGTCCATCGAAACATGTGACTTCGGGATGTTGGAGCTACTACTGAACGTCTGTCAAATTCAATGTCAGTCTCTAATTTTTCCCATGCTTGCTTCCAGTGGATAGGAGTGTACCAGGCAACAGCCTAATGAAAAGGATTCATTAATGTCAATGTTATTAGGGTTAGAATGTTTAAAAAAACAGCATGAATTAATTGCAATAACATTTATTTTTAAACTTTGTATTTACATACTCAAAAGGCAGAAAAAAAGAGAGAGAGAGAGCAAGAGAGAGAGACAGAGAGATAATGTCTATTCTCTGACTCATTTCTCCAGTACCTACAACATCTAGACTTGGGTTAAGCCAAAGTCAAAAGCCAGAAATGTAATCCAGGCCTTTCATGTGAGTGGCAAGAACTTGGGTACTTGAACCATCATCTGCTGCCTCCCAGGGTGTGTATTTGCAGGAGGCTGATATATTTAACAAAATCAGTGTCGAGGCCAATGTCAAGGGGAATTCCCCTGTGATGCCTTCTAGGAGTTTTATGGCCTTTCACTTGGATCTTGCATCCATTTTCTTGTTTGTTTTAAATATACATTTATTTATTTGAAAATCAGAGCTACAGAGAGAAAGAATCTTCTATCTGCTGGTTCACTCCATGATGGCAGAGCTGGACCAGCACTGGGCCCATGCAGGAGCATCTGGGATATGAAGCGGAACCCATACAGGATGCCAGTATCGCAGGTAGCGAGTTTACCTTTTCACTCATTTTGAATTGATGTTTGTGTACAAAGTAAGTTAGAGGTACAAGAGACTTTACCAAAATCTTTGCCACTTGGATTAGTGAACCATAGGGTGAGGGTATTGGACAACGTAGGAATTACGTCTTTATTCAACAGAGGAAAATTAAACCATCAAACTATGTCCAAACATGCTAGCTATTCTGCTCATCTTTTAGTTGATAAAATTAAGGGTTTGAATTTTGTGCTGTAACCATTGAAAACCTGATCTGTTTGCCTTGACAAATGAAACAGTCATAAACAAGTGCAGCTGCGAGAAGTCTTCATAAAAAGTTCATTTTCATGAAGAACAGCATCGAAGTCCTGCTTTGGTGCAGGCCATTACTTAGGAATTCTCTCTTCTTTGGGTAGTTCAAACTCAGCCATTTCTATTAAAAAACAGGTTCATCGTTTAAGTGAGATCTTCCTTTGGTTGTACACCTTTCCTGGACAAGAATACTTTTGTCCATGTAGGGTAGGTATATAAGAGTATTTGATGACAATGATTAAAAAATATGATAAAATATAGTCTCACTTCCCAGTGTTCGACCTTATAAATCTTGTAGACTATTTTTAGCACAACAGAAAAATTCCTGGATGATTTTATTTTAGCTTTGTTATTTACTTGATCCTGTAACCTAGAGCAAGCCATTGAACTTTCCAAGATCCATTTTCCTCCTTTGTAAAATTTCTAAACACTACTGGGAATCCAATAAAAGAATGCAAACAGAAATAACCCTTTAGTGAGCTCCTAAATCCAGGAGTGATCTATGTTCCTAATCTGGATCTTGAATAGCAAACAAGCCATTGAAGGAGTGCCAGGCACTGAATAAATAAAAGCTAGCTGTTAGCTTTGGACATACGAGGAAGATTCTACAAATTTTATAGGACAACACTGTGATTGCTGGGGAAAAAAAATCTATCCCTGTTTTAAAAACCCACAGGCTCCTGAATTGTAGTGATCATATTAGGAACTATAAAATGTTATGAAATATGGGATTAAATGTTTACCTTTAGCGCAAAATATTTTAAACTTCATGTATTGGAGGAGTTTCCAGAGAGTTCATGTACAATTCATATCCTAACAAACCATGCATAGATTTCAATTTTTGCATGATAATATTTATTCTTTAATCTTATTTTTTCTGTGAAATTTTTGACATTCCTGTGTAACATAATTTCACAGCAAATATAGTCCTTTAAAATAAGGACTCCAAAATCATTCAGCAAATTACTGGACTGTAGGGAATAAGTATGATATCTTAAACCAAGCTATCTCCCAAAACTTAGTACCAGGCCAAGAACAGAGAATAAATTTAATAAACGGGTGAGAAGTAAGTAGATGAATAGTAAAAGGTTTGTATTTAGTACTTTCCTTACCCCATTCTTCAGGCTACATATTACAAATACAATCTGTATTTAGGAGTAGCTTTTCAGAAGTATAGAAAATCAAAATTATTTGCCAAACGTGTTACTCTTTGGCACTTTGACACTGCTGATATACCTGATGTGTTATGACATTTAGTGCTGTTTCTATTCACGCTTTTAAGGATGGAAAAATCAATTAAAGCAAGAGGATCACAAAGAATGCCCTCTACTGGGTTAAATGTTCTTGTTAAGCACCAGACACTAACCTCACCGTTAGGTTTGCACAGGATGGTTGTACAGTCTGGACTTGTTCTGAATCTGTTCTGTTCTTTCCAGAGAAAATTGGATGGCGGCTGGTGTTTTGCTTCTGATGCTGCTGCCCATACCTGTAAGAAAACACCAACGCAAGTGACAAACGCCACTGGAAGTCAATGTAGGTTTCGGAAATGTCATTGGGTGATGGCAACAAAGTCTTTCTGAACAGATGAGCTTTTAAAATATAACAACTGCATGCTATATCATGTCAGGTGATGCAACACCTAGTAGGTACTGCATATGGCACAGAACAAGAGGGGGACCTTCTAGTATCAACCCAATATCTTTTTTTTAAGCAAATAATCTTTTCCTTTGCCATTTAAGAGCTATATTAGTTTGGTTTGAAATAACTGTTTCAAAGGCAGATGCGTGTACATACATGTATTCACAGTTACAGAAAGAAAGAAAGAGAAAGAGAATCTTCCATCTGCTGCCTCACTTCCCTAAATGCCTACAAAAGTGGTCCAAGGCTGGATCTCTATGAAGCGAGAAACCTGGAACCCATCCAGGTCTCCTCTGTTGGTGGCTTAGAGTACATAAGCCATTACTTTCTGCTTCTTGGGCTGTACATTCGCAGGAAGCTGGGTTGGAAGAGGAAGTGGGACTTGAACCCAGCAACTCTAGCATAGGTTGTGAGTGTCCTGGGGACTTCATTTTGAAGCATGTATCATAAAAACAAAGGCTCCTGCACAAAATTACATAAAGCAGAACAAACTTATGGGTGCAAATCAACCTCTAGAAGGTGAAGAATGTGATATAATTCACTACAGCAATAGGCAAGTCCCGTTTTATGTATCAATGTGTGGTGACGGGTTGACCAGAGCTGAGCCACACACACAAGTCCCATTTTTTTTTTTTTTGCACCAATGTGTAGCTGACAGGTTGACTGAGGCTGAGCTACAGGTCGTCAATATAAATTGGGTTTCTCCTCTACGATCTCAGTCGGTAGTACTTCTGCCTTATACTCACAGTGACTGTGGAACCGGCCTGCATTACGACGTTTGGAACGAATCGGTACAGGGAGAGTGCTTGTCCATTCACATTTTGTTGGAGAATATGATTTCCAATTTCCAGTTCTTTGTCAAGGGAAGCATTCACGAGCCTTACAAATAAACCTTTGACATTCACTTCGGCTATTTTAACATCACCAAGAGAACTAGAAAATAAAATGCAAAGATTATGAAGCATCTTCAGAGAAGAGTGTCTTCGACTCAGGTTCGGAACTGAAGAATAAATATGTTTTGGAAGATGTACTGGACAACAGATTTTTTTTGTATTTTATAACCACCTAAGCCAAACGGGCTGATCTCCTAGCTCTGCTTGTTGCTGCAAATAAAATTATCCATTTCACATAACATAATAAAGGCAAATTGCCAAGTGCTTTAGGTATTCAAGGTAAAATGCCATACGGAGGTGCGATTTCAACCATGTAAACTTTCCACTGCTCCACATAAAACCCCTGAGATGTAAAGTCTCAAAGGCAGATAAAGTGATGCCACTGGATTTACTTGTGAAAAAGTGACTGTGGAAATGAGAACCTGAACACCTCACATAAACATTAAGATTGTATTTTGTTTTTACCTTCCAACTTGTGTTGATAGTCTATGCGTTCCACAGAACATTTATACAACTGCATTGTCTTAGAGTGTGGGTCACCGCCTATTAGCAGACTATGAAGTCCCTTTGGTGGGCTAGAATCAGCATTTTAAAAATACAATATATTTTCAGCGATAGTATTAACTAGTAGACCATATGCCAGGCACTTAAAAAATACATACGAGGGTCCCTAATCAAGGTAGTGGAAGGTGAGTATTATGAAAGAACCTTAAATGGATTTCAAATTTGTTTTGCACCAAAATAAAACCTTTCAATTTTGGGCCTGTTCATCTATCTCTACCTATGCCTATATTTGTACAATTTCTTACCCACAATTCTAACATTCAAAAAGCTTTGAGAAAACAAACACAAATCTTCATGTGTTTCAAGCAAAATTTAACCCCAAATTGAGGAGACTGACAGTCTTTGTTCATGGTTTGTTTGAACACACATCTTATTGTGGAAAGAGTAATGTTTGATCTTTTTTTATTCTTCTCTATGCCCTTGGGGTGTCAAAAGTTTCCCAGGCATCGCATCAGTTTCCTAACATTTTTCAAAGACTTCCTTTGGAAATGTACTTATCTTCAAATATTCTGATGACAGCACTGTGGACTCTATTCTTGCCAAACTATGCATATTTCTCATTGAAATACTTCTACATAACTCTTATTGAAGGTCACAGTAAAAAACCAATGCGAAGAACACTGCACTCTCATTTATTTCTCATAACAATGCAGACATGCTATCTCTAGTCTTCTCTTATGGATACACTTAGATTTGGCGAGATTGCATTATTCACCCGTTGGTCCAGCCTGGGCGGTCTCGTCTCTGATCCTTTGCACAGTATCTGTGACCTAGTTCTGTTGATTTTACCTTTTTCAGTGTCTTCTAGGCACGTCATCATCTCTCCACTACAATGGCTGCTATCTTTCTTAGACTCTCATCGTCAGTGGGACATGGCATCCACACTCCAATGGGTTTTTTTGAGTCCTGCCCCCTCCTAACCACTCTTCATTTCGTTTCCAGAGCAATCTTTGTACAATCCAGATATGACATTGCCATAAGTGCTATTCTTTCTTCTTATTTGCCACAATGTTAACATCACGTCAAAGTTTCAGGCTTCCAAACTTTTTTTAAAAGATTTATTTATTTATTGGAAAGTCAAATATACAGAGAGGAGGAGAGACAGAGAGGAAGATCTTCCGTCCAATGATTCACTCCCCAAGTGAACCCAACGGCCAATGCTGTGCTGATCCGAAGCCAGGATCCAGGAACTTCTTTCAGGTATCCCACATGGGTGCAGGGTCCCAAGGCTTTGGGCCGTCCTCGACTGCTTTCCCAGGCCACAAGCAGGGAGCTGGATGGGAAGTGGAACAGTGAGGACATGAACTGGCACCCATATGGGATCCCGGAGTGCATGCAAGGCACCGCCCTGTATGAGAATCTCTATTTCATAAATGTCTACTTCCAAATAATTGATAGCACAATTTCCTTTTTAGAATTATTGTCATGATTTTTATTAAATTGTCAATGAAACATTTTATTTTTCTAGAGTATTCCTGAAACACTTCTATGGCATGCTCATCTTACTGAATTTCTTCTGCAATATATTTTTATTGTTTGAAATATTAAGTTTTTGATTTTTACATTTATGTTCTCTGTTTAGGGGGGGATAATCATTATTAGTTTTTAAATAAACAAGGCCCTGGGACAATTCTGTGGTCCTTTTGTTACCATACACATAAGTGAATATTTACAGTGGCTTTTCAGCAATCTTTGAATATTCAAGTGACTTATTTATTCACCAAGCTTATTTTTTTAATTTAATGCCCATAAATGGAATCTATTTCCTTGTTGGAAAGGAAAAAGACCATGACTGTATTGACCGTATCAGGGTACTTCACTCATCTTCCGTTTGATAGGACCAAAAGCTACAGGAAAGCAGTCTACACAATGCAGGGAAATTCAGAGGCAGGCTGCTAATCTATCACATGGCCTTTAGCAACTATCTTTTCCTCTTCCCTTCAAGTCTTCTTATTTATCTTTAATAGGAAAGTAAGTTGAGTCCTCTGCTTCCATTTTGACAGACTGAGAGTGGAAACTGATTCTCCAGTCTTCCTGTCTGTAGCCTCAGTGTGGGCTTGATGAGTAAAGAGATTGAAAAGGCACATGCCTATGGAACTCAAAAAAAAAAAAATTCCTTTCCAGTATTTACACGGATCTGCGTAGTTGCTGAGTGCTGCTTAATCACTCTGTGCTGTCTGCTCAGGCTGCTCTAGAGTTCCCTGACATTATCCTTGGAGTTTCCATTCTTCCCAACTGTTTCTAAAATTCTCTGGATAGGTTGACATCTATGTTCGCATGGGCTAGTTAGGAGGCGCAGGATTTAGGACTACTTAAGAATGAACTTGGAAGGGAACTTGATCAAGTCTGTTGGTTCTACAAGGGAGGAGCTTTCACACCCAGCGTTTTCGTGATAGCTTGCTAATGTGATAGACAGTCAAATTTATCCCCACTACCACAAACTTCTGAATCATCCAGGGAGAGCAGGGAGGGAGGGAAAGAAAAAGAGGAGCTTACGGGAAAGAAAGGGAGCAGATTTACAGCTTTTGAAACTGCTCGATCTGAAGCTCTTTGTGTGGCTATTTACCTGGGAGGTCTTTGCAGTCCAGAATAGAACTCACTTACTCCCATGCTGACTGCACTCTGGTTGGATTAGAGGTAGAGGGGCAGACAGCTGAGAAGGCAGCCTTCTAAACACTGTTTCGTCTCCCTGGAGGCGTCTGCAACTAAACTTGAAATCCAGATAGTCTCAGACCCAGCGAGCAGGATCATGCATAACCAGTCAACCCGAAAATGGTTCTCCCCTCTTTTCCATTTGCCTACAAGTTGCCTTGATTCTTTTGGTGGTAGGAAAGAAAAACAAAACAAAACAACAACAACAACAAAAAAACACAGTGTGGCTTGAAAACACACTGAGAGTCAGCTTCTGTTTCTGCGTAAGATGGGACAGCAGAAAATGGACTTAGCATCCTACTTGAAGCCACTGAAAAGTAGGAAGCACATGGGATGTTCTCACGGAAGCTCTTGGACATCAGTCAGTGATGAACAGGGATCTGTGACAGAGAGGGAACACAGGTAATGAATCTGGAAGTTTCTGCACCTTCTTTGTTGAAATCATTTCTAGATGTGACTATGGAGAGAGGAGCAGGACGAGGCTCAGGGTACCCTGACTTGAAGAGGTGGAGCCTGGGGAGAGCAGGGGGCTGGAGGCCAAGGGCAGAGCAGCAGGAAAGGGCTTGCTCTGGAACCTGTCAAGGGTTCTCCGAGATAGGATGATAGTGGAATAACATCTGAATTCAGGGCATACTCAAGGAAAAAATACCAGTGGAAAGTGCCATACCCATTGAAAAGTATCTTTTCAAAACAAAAGAAAGGTCACAGCGCAGTACCCTAGTGGCTAAAGTCCTCGCCTTACATGCCCAGGATCCCATATGGTTCATATGGCACTGGTTCATATCTTGGTTGCTCCACTTCCCCTCCATCTCCCTGTTTATGGCTTGGGAAAGCAGTAGAGGATGGCCCAAAGCCTTGGGACCCTGCACCTGCATGGGAGACCTGGAGGAGGCTCGTAGCTCCTGGCTTCAGATGAGCTTAGCTCTAGCTGCTGCGGCCACTTGGGGAGTGAACCAATAGATGAAAGATCTTTCTGTCTTTGTTTCTCTCTGTATATCTGCTTTTTCAATAAAAATAAATTAAATAAGAAATTAGAGAAACAACAAAAGAAAGCCTTTAAAAAAATACACAAATTTAAGGAAGACTTAACCACAAACAGATCCACCTTACAAGAAATGTTCAAGGAAGTTTTTCACAGATCTTGGGTGGAAATACAACCTGTAACAGAAAAATAAAGAGCCACAAATCCTACTGGGGAAAATATATTGTGTAAGATTTTTTTTCTCATTATTTATATTTTCAGAAACTAGCTACACAAAAACAAGACTCTGTGTGTGTGTGTAAAACAAAGTGTGTAGTAAAGGCCAGAAGGCAAGAAACAGACATGAAAGTATTCTTTCTTCAGAGTCTTATACTGCTTGTGAACTGGAATAATACTGCTTGTAGACAGTCTGTCGTAGGTTTAACATACATATTACAAACTTGGACGCAATCAGTAAAACAATAGAATAACAGCTTATAAATCGGTAAAGGAAATAAAGTAGAATTTTAATAACACTTCAAAAAAAAGCAGAAAATAGGAAATTGAACAATTGAAACAAACAGAAAGTGATAAGATAGTGCACTTTAGCTATCTTATTGGTCACTCTGTGCATGGTACATGCTTGCAATGAAAGAAAAAAGACTGGATTTGAACTGTAATACTGCAGTAAGGTGGAGAAATCCACCATGGGGGAAGGGTACAGGGAGGAGTTGGGGGAACCTCAGAGCCTATGAAACGATGTCATAAAATGAAATGCAATAAATAAGTAACTAACTAACTAAATAAATAAATGGCTTAAATACCCCAAGGAAGATAGAGATATCATATTGGTCAGAAGAGCAAGTTTCACCTATATATATATTCCACATAACACATTTTCCAAATATAAAGACCAAACAGTTTGAAAGGATAGAACAAAAGTTGCTAGCACTAGGAAAAAGAAACCAGCAGGTATAATATTAAAGCAAGATAGATTTTAGGAAAATAATACTCATTAGGAAAAAGAAGGCATTGTACGATGATATGAGGTTTAAATTATGAGGAGGATCTAAAATTTCTAAAATTTTTTGAGTCTGATAATAAGCTTCAAATTACGTGAATCAAAGTTTACAAAACTGGAAGGGAGAAATGAACACATTCATAATTAAGGAGCATGTTAATCCCTTCTCTCAATAACAGAGAGAAAAGTAGACAATCAGCAAAAAATGGCAGTAGCCAAAAATAACATCAGCCGAAGTAATTCACCTGATTAACCTTTATAAAACACCCCACTCGACTGCAGGATATACATCCTTCTCAAGGGCACCTGGAACAACTGCTAGGATAGGAAATGTCTTGCCTATAACACAGATCTCAAAAAACTTAAAAGGACTGAAGTCACATAAAACATGTTAAATTATACTACAGTGTAATTTAATTAGAAATTAATAATGATACCTGAAAAATCACTGTGACTGGAAAAAAAAATCTACACAATATCTGTGAACTAAAAAAGTAGACTTTGCAATTAATCAATGATCAAAAATGAAAAGGGAAGTTATTTAATGCAGGATAAAAATAAAAACACGACATATCAGAATTTGTAATACGATGCTGAGCTGTATTTTTTGGGGGAAAATTCATAACACTAAGTAGCTATGCTACGAAAAGTATCAAACCAATGGTCTGAGAAAAATATGGAAACAAAGAAAATCTGAAGTAGACAGAAAAAAAGAGAAAGAAGCTGAGAAGGGAAATCCGTGAGTCAGAAAACAAACAAAAAGTGAAAATCAATAGATCTGACTCTTTAAGAAACTCAACAAAGTTTCTAAATTCCAAGTAGGACCAATCAGGAGAAGGGAAGGCACACGTGCAGCCTCAGGACTGAGTAAGGTGACATCAGCTCAGAGTACAAAATGCTTAAAAGTACTCAGGGACTGTGATGAACAACCTGGATGAAAGGGACGACTTCCTTGGAAGACACAGACCACTCAACTTCACTCACGTAGAGACAAGTAGCCAGAACGGCTTGATATCTCTTTAAAAACAGAATTTTTAATTAGAGAGTTTTCCCACAAAGAATCTCCATGCCCAGGTGACTTCATCGATCAATTCCGTAAGATATATAAGGAAAAAAAAATAGTTTTATACAAACCAAGTGAAAAACAAGGGACTTATGAGGAGGGCATTACCCTATATTGCAGAAGACAAAAAACTACAGGAAAAGAAAACCATGACCAATGTCCTTATACAAACATACATATAATCATTTGAGACAAAATTTTAGCCAAGTTTCAACAAATGTTAAATGAATACTGTAGCTAAATAGGTTTATTTTAGAGTATAAGGGTTTCTTTCACAATAAATAAATCATATAATCACAACAGATGAATAAAAAGCAGTTCATAAAACTCAATATGTTTAGCATGCATTGTTAAAGATGGGCTGTTCTGGATAAAAATTCTGTCATTCTCTTATTTTAAACTTTTCGTTGCCCCTTGTGAAGTCCAAATTCTTGCACTTGAAATTCCAGGCTCATTGTGACGGGGCTTTGAGCCTGTCACTTCCTCTCACTTACTACCCTGTTAAAATTCTCCACACCGCTCAGAGTGGCAACACTGGACAATTCTTCACCTTGTCTATGGGGTCTTGCCCTAGATTTGTGGCTATCAACCTTGGATGTTCATTGAAATCACTATCAGATTGCTAGAAAACAAAGTATATGCATCCAGGCTTGCCTCTAGATATTCAGATATTCAGTCTCAGTGTAAGATGGCATCAGGACAGTCAAATCTCTCTTTGTGATGCCACTGGGGTAGGGGGCGGGCAGGATTGAAAACCTATGATCTAACATATTCTCACAGACTCTAAAATCACACAACACAAGCTCACCCAACCTTCAAAACTGAGGATAGCTGCAGCCACTTCACAAAATTGGTCTAGATCCTTCCTTGCTAGAAGCTGGTTCTTGCTCCTTTTGATACCTTGTTGTTTTCACATGCCTTTCCCTTCATTCTCACTGGTAAATCTTTCCTGATATGAATGTAAATTCTTAATACCACATTCATGAGCTTTTTTCCTTAATTTTCCCCAAGTAGCTTCTCATTTTTTTATAATGGTAGGTATTGAATGAATCATTAGAGGAAGTGTGACAGTTGAGCCAACACTTAGGCTCAATTATTGGGGCACAAGTGACTAATTTTAGGAAGCATGGATTATAAGAAAAAAATTTCCTTCAAGGTCCACTGCAATGGCTCAGTAGCTAAATCCTCGCCTTGCATGTGCCAGGACCCCATATGTGTGCCAGTTCATGTTCCAGCTGTTCCACTTCCCATCCAGCTCCCTGTTTGTTGCCTGGGAAAGCAGTAGAGGATGGATAAAAGCCTCGGAATTGTATCCACATGGGAGACCCGGAAGAAGTTCCTGGCTTTGGATTGGCTCAGCTCCAGCTGTTGTGGACACTTGGGGAATGAACCAACAAACAGAAGACCTTTCTCTTTGTCCCGTTCTCCCTGTAAATCTGCCTTTCTAACATAAATAAGTCTTTAAAAAAAAACTTTTAAAAAGAATGCTTTTCTATTAAAAAAAATTCCCATCAGATTTGACTCTCAACTTTGGCTCACAACTTCCTTTAGCCTTCTCACAGTCTATATCACACATCTTTACTGTTCAAATTTCACAATTCAGTCTACTGATCATGTATTAAGTAATGCAAGGTAAAGGACATTGATAGATAAACTAGCTCTTTTATTTAATCCTAGTACCAACTTTCTTATTTTTGCCATAGACACAAACAGCCATAGAATGAAAGAAGGACGGTAACATTTTTCGCCTCTCTCCTACATCTTTGTCTCAAGAAATTACTAAAGAAAAATATATTAAATCTTTTTTTTAAAAAAGAGGCCCATAAGTAATTGAGTGGAATAGGTTTGTGGGATTATATAGCACTGTTTTCTCTGGCATATTTGGGGAATTAAAATTACATGCTTATTTCCCTAGAAAATTCTAGCAGCTGCCTTTCACTGCTGAGAATCCCAGTTCCTGGACAATGGCATTGTTAGCATTTTGATACAATCATAGATCTAACTGCAGATTAGACTTCTATTTTCTATTCATTTATTGGTCCTACCCAAACAGAAGCTATTCCGTAGTCCAAATACAGTGCGTACCTGGATGTAGCTTGGCCAACTTCTTCAAGAATCGTGGAGAAGTGTTTGTAAATTTTCTGGACATGGCCTGATTGTGAAATAAATTTCTTTGGTTTATTAAACAAAGAAAGGAAATAATCCTCTCCTTCTCCAATCACAGAAGTTGTATGATCCAGGCTCGGGGTCTGTTTCTTTGGACCTAAGAAGCAGCTGATTTCTTTGGATTCATCTAAAGGAAGAAACAAAAAATAGTTCAGTAAATAAAAGGACAAAAAACCCAAAGCCAGAATCCTTATAACCCAAAGCTTCTACGAAACTGCATTTACCTCCGCTTCTTTCACTACTGAAGCTTAAGGCAAAGCCTACAAAAAACAGCCAATGAATATTTTTTTTGTGGCATTCCAAATTCCTGCAGATTACTTCAGCTGTTTTTAAACTGTCAGTTATGTCATTAGCATCATGACAGATTATCGAATTGTACTAGAAGTGTCATTCATTTTTGAGTAGGTGGAACACTGGAGTCTGCCACTTTGGCTTTGTAATAAATACAGCTTTATTCTCTTTCCTATTTACCATTCATTCAAAATTGCTATTCATCAGTTTAAACTGCAGAGAAATCCTGTCTACTCACGGTCAGCACTTACTGTATAGTTAATGGCTTACACTTCCTCTGTCAACAGACTGCATATTAGAAAGGTTAAAAATGCTTAATCACATTCTAAGATCTACTTGGTAAGTTCTCTCTATAACATTCAAAATTCTAGCTACAATATTCAAATGAAAAATAAATTTCACATTGGTACACCAAAATAATTATTCTGGATGAATTTAATGATGAAATTACAGATGAATTTATCTGTAGAGCAAAAGTTATCCTATAGAGATGCATCAAGGTGAAGAGATAAGAGTCACGTGCCTTGCCTTTAGGCAGACCAGCAATTGTGTGCCAGCTTTGTCATTTACTAGGCCAAGTGATTTCAACTTATTTTTTTAAAAAGATTTTTTTTTTTATTGGAAAGTTGGATAGACGGAGAGGAGGACAGACAGAGAGAAAGATCTTCCATCCATTGATTCACTCCCCAAGTGGTCGCGACGGCTAGAACTGAGCTGATCCAGGTCTCCCACATGGGTGCAGTGTCCCAAGGCTTTGGGCCATCCTTGACTGCTTCTCCAGGCTACAAGCAGGGAGCTGGATGGGAAGTGGAGCTGCCGGGACATGAACTGGTGCCATATGGGATATTGGCATAGTCTCTCTCTCTCTTTTTTTTTAAAGATTTATTTTTATTTTTATTGGAAAGGCAGATATACAGAGAGGAGAGACAGAGAGGAAGATCTTTCATCCAATGATTCACTCCCCAAGTGAGTGCAATGGTCTATGCCATTCTGAAGCCAGGAGCCTCTTTCAGGTCTCCCACGTGGCTTTGGGCCGTCATCGACTGCTTTCCCAGGCCACAAACAGGGAGCTGGATGGGAAGCGGGGCTGCCGGGTTTAGAACCGGCGCCCATATGGGATCCCAGGCATGCAAGGTGAGGACCTTAACCACTGTGCCACTGCGCCGGGCCCATGGGCATAATCTCTCTTACAGTTCCTGGCTCCAGATGTTACCACTGGCTCCAACACAAGCTCTTGCCATTGTCTTCTGAGACCCTCATGTGAGACCAAACCAATATGGCTGCTTGATCTTGACTTTGAAACTTCAAAGTCTCTACAATGGCACTAAGAACACCTCTGTCTCCTTCATGAATAGCTTTTCTCTGGGATTTCACTGTAGTTTGAAAACAAGGCTAACATGCCAAGGTTAAGTTTTCCTAAATACAACTTCCTTATATGAGGAGATAGGAAGGCTGGAAATAACGTAAATAGCTCCCAGCACAGGGTTTAATATTTATCCAGTATCAACAAGTGACAGTTATTATAGTGTAAAGGTTTTAGCTAATGTGATTTTGGTTATAAAACTCGCAAAAAAAAAAAAACAAGCTATAGTGGACTTTATATTCTTACTTGAGAGTACTTCAGAAAGTTCGTGGAAATAGATTAAAAGGTAAGTTTATTTGGATGCAGAATTTTTAAAATCCAGAAATAATTTTTTATAATGGACATTTCCTGTAATTTTTCAGGTTATTCCCCGACTAGGGGCATGAATACCTCCCAAAAGAAAGAAGACATGGGCGTGGCTCCCCACTGTCTTTTCATTGAGAACAATCAGTGGCAATGAAGCAAACACAGGACCCAGCAGACTCCGACAACTGTCTACAAAAGCTAGAGCTGCCTAGCATCATGACAGACAGCACCCCCAGCCCCTCTCTCACGGTGCAAGCTGACACCACTGCCTTTGCTTGCCCCTCCACCAGCAGGCGTTTCTACCAGGTAACCCAGTCACAGATCACATGCCATGGTGACATCATGCCAAATGTTGAATTTTTGCTAAATGTCAGTGTGAATACAGGAAGGCACTAACAGAGCATTTCTCTAAGTTATACAAACCATGAAACAGGGATTACGACTACAAACATAGCTTATGACAAAAGCGTCTCTAACACTGTGTCCAAGGTTTAGGAAATGACTGGAGGCAGCCTGAAATACGGATGAGAAATAGGCTGTAAATGTCCATAAAATGGACGTGGAAAATGGGAGCATCAGAGTCACGAAGTGTTGGTGCTACCAGTTTGGAAACTTGCTACTTGATTGGCAATTGCAATACACATCACCACATCTAGTCTATCCTAGATGAAGCTTCCAGGTTACGTTGGGACTGACAACAAAATTTATCATGTGCTAATCATTGTGCTGACTGATCTGCCAACCTATTTTACTTAATCCTTTGCCCTGTGAAGTTGGTATTTAAAGTCACATCTTACACACATGGAAACAGAAACCCAGAATTTTATCCTGATGCTGTAGGAGGTAGCTGCAAAATCTGTGATGGCAGGGACTGCAGTATTTTCCAGAAACCATGAACACTTAACCTTCAAAGTTTCCTTAACACAGCTAGGAAAAATACACTCCAAGGTGGTATTGCTGAATGCATTGTTGACAACACTAAAACTGCATTTTCATGCTACAGCTGTTTCCATTTTCCTTACCGCTTCCACCTTTTCTATCACTTGTTTATATATTTTGCCTTTTTTTCTATTATCAATCTATTCCTTATTTGTACCATAAACGTCCTAAGGACACAGAGCACAGGAGCAACATCCCAAGTTAGCACTACACGTCGGAATGTAAAATTCTCTAGCAATTCTAGAACACAGTAGCAGTCAATCCATGGACCATCTTCATGGCTTTAGGCATCTCAGTGTTGAGGATGGAGACATTTGGGCACCTGAATGTGTGTACCCTGAATTATAAGGGTCAGTAGTGATCTTAGTCAAGTTCATCTACGTAGGATATTTGAAAGCTGGCATTCTAGGAGATAAGCAATTAAACACCGTTTGGTCTATGAGGCAATAGAGCAACTATTGAGATTCTCCTATATATGTTTTAAAGATAATGTAAAGAAATTTGATGCATATTTTGCTTACCAAAGTATCTGTCTTCCGGGAGACAGCTCACGGTGGATTTGGAAGTCAGCGGTCCTATTGTCGAGACGGTTATTTCACTGATGTCAGTACTGGACAGATAGTGACTGAGGGTTATCTCACGTGAGAAGGATACTGAGAGTGGCAGGGCTGTGGCATTTGAATACGTCGCCTTTGGGAAAAAATGTACCGAAGAATGCTGTTTTGTTGGCGGAGCTCTCAGTTTGTCATCTCCTCTGTGTACCAATGGATGATAGCAGACAAAGAGAAAAAATCAAAGTCACTGTCAGAACAAGAAGCGTGGGCCATTATACGCTCCGCATTCTGTTTTTCAAGGGTCGCACGCATCTAACACAAGCACAACAACACATGGCATTTCTAGCAATAGAAATAGTTTACCATCATGCTTTCATGTTGTTCTACTTGAAAGAAAGTTCTTACTATCGATGGTTTTCAAAAGCTATGAAGTCAGGGTGAGGGGCATGCCAATCTGCTGTCTGCAGTGCTGGCAATCTGTATGGATGATAATTCATACCCTGGCTGCTCTGCTTCCAATCCACTTCTTGTTTGTGAGCTGGGAAGGCAGTGCAGGATGGCCAAAGACCTTGGACTTCTGCAAAAATGTGGGAGACCCAAAAGAAGCTCCTGGCTTCTGGCATCAGATCAACTCAGCTCTGGCCATTTGAGCCATTTGGGGAGTGGACCAGCAGAATGAAGATCTGTCTGTGTGTGTCTTGTTGTCTCTGTAAATCTGTCTTTGCAATAAAATGTAATTTTTAAAAAAGATATGAAGACAGAAAAAAAATGTTAAAAAAATGTAAAAAAATCACTTTAATGATACTATTTCCTTCTAGGCCCTTTATATGCATTTTTTAAACTCAAGGTAGGGAGTCTATAAACTATTTATACTCCACTTTGTTAAATATGATTGGTTAAACCATATTTCCTGTTTCCATTAACATGAAAAAATTAGAATTCCTGCTTAACATAACTGCTATATATTCTTTCTTTCCATCCTTGTTGCTGCTTAACTAATTTGTCTATATTCATAACAACTCTAATGAATGTCTGCTTTCAGGTGAACCACTTGTGACGAGGTGTGCATGTGGGTTGCAGAGAAGAAAGACAATTTTCAAGGACTACTTTCATCAAAAATCTATCCAGAGAGAGAGAACGAGCTTTATAGTCACAACCAGACTGCTCTACATGAATTTTTTGGAAAGTGCATATGTCACAGGTCTGGCTTCTTTACATTAGATGGTGGTGACCTTGAAGAGCCCATTATGGTGAGGCTAGCACTTAGCAAGCCTGAGCACTTACTATGCAGCCATGCGATACCTTCCAAACTATGATCATGAAGTTAGTGGGAATAGACCATGGAGGAAGATTATCAAATAATGAACATCCCCCTCTGTCCAGCCCAGTGGCGGGATCCTAAGGCATGACGCTGACCCCGGCTGGAACAAGAAGGGAGAGCACTCTCCTCTCAACAGGTCTCACATCTGGGTTGCATTACGGCCCAGCTATAGCTTTTTAGCATTTCATGTTATAACCTCTCATTTTATTTCCCTCCCCAGTGGAACAATAGCATTCCCCAATAATGTCAAGTCCACAAGGATTCCCAGCAAGCCTTCATAAATGCTATGATCAGAGAAATTGGGTCCAGAGACAGAGTGTTCTTATTTTTGTGGCAGAATCAGAAATTTCTGCGGTCTGGACATGTCAGCTGAGCTGATGTATGCCAGGAGATACAGCCCTCGCCTGCCCCCATTTCCTCTCGCCTGCCCATTTGACTCCATTGGTAGGGCAGCACTTGTTTTGAGTGCTTGGTTAGCTCGGATTTTCTCGGTATTCTGCACTCTCTGAAATAAATCAGAATGAAACCAGGGACCATTACAGATGCTTGATTCCAGCATTCTCATGTTACTTGGGACGCCACTACATTGGTGATTCTGACAACAATCATTTTTCAGAAGACTTTGAAACACAGCAAACAGAAAAAAACATGGGCTTAGGCTGAATAGCAAACAGCCAAAATCAAGGTCCAAAGTAACAATAACTTCACATTGTGTATACACAACTGTCAGGGTCTCTGGAAACCCAATGCCAGTGCTTTAGCTGATAGTATGATTTACAGTAGTAATAAAAATAGAGTTGTGATTTTTTTAATAGAATATTCTCACAGACATTTCCTAAACCAACACTCTAGTAATTTTTTGTTTCAGTCCTTAGGTTGATAAAGTTGCTGGAAGACAGTTTTCTGTTCCACAGGAGTATAAACAGACAAGGGCTAAATATCATAATCAAATCATAAGATGTCAGCTTTATTCTTTTTTGACTCTATATCTTTCATGCTCCTTTGGGGCAGTTGTCTTTCTCCTTTTTACTTGTTGAGCATTATGGTTAGTGATGCGTTAAGCCTGTGACCATAAATTGAAATGCTATTGTAAAAATTAAAGGGAAAGAAAAGATGTAAGGAGGGGAGGTTGAGAGAGGGAGGTTGGAAGAAGGTATGGTAATCTTAGAATCATGTCTAAGAAATACATAATATCTGATCTCTTCACATTAATAAATATTTCCTCAATACACAATTAAATTAGAACTAATATTTAAAACTTATATTAAAGAGGATGAAGATTTCTAACGATTGCCTTAACATCGCAATGGAAATTTTGGAAACTCAAAAAAAAAATAATAAAATTCAGGTGTTTTGTGTGAGAGGGACGTCTGGGAGAATTTTCATATTACTCAAAGACAGGAACCTCATCCAACAGTAGTTGGGGGAAGGAGAATTCTCTGCTACTGCTCACTGTTTTCTAGAAATGTACGTGGGATTGATTCTCATTACATAGTGCTTCACCAGCTCTCTTAGCACAAGCGTGGGTTTCACCTTTCTCTCTCTGCAACCAGACCCACATTTCCACTCAGTCACACCCTCCTTACAGCTCCGGGTTCGTCGCTGGTTTCTCCGTTTCCTGCTTGTGGGTGTCACTCCGCAGGGTCTCCGAAGCTTCCTGAACATCTTGTGTGTCATTCATCTTGGTGAGAAGAGAAGTCTCATTTGCTTCCTAGGAAAGCAGAAAGGACAGCAACAAAATGCAGCTGAAGTTCAAGCCAGAATTTTCTTTTTACCCAGCTGTTTACCTCACCTGTTACCCAACTGCCGTCATGCACCTAGCAGATCGAATGACGTTTTTATCAAGCTGGTTACAGACCCAAAGTTCTCATGGGAATGTGTAGCTCGTGACATAGCAATATGGATACAGGCTAAGGATGCCAGACAAACCACGGTGAAAAGGTGTAGCATTTACTGGAAGCAGCTCAAGAGACAGGGCAGTAACCCAGCCAAGTGACCTTTATGATGACAGTGCTCCCACCTGGCCATGCTGTCTGGTGGAACACCATGAGGTCATGTTTCCATGGTTATGAAGTTCCACTCTCTGAACAATTACTGAGTTAATGCTGCACCTGCGATGTGGCTCCCAGACAACAAATAATGGACTTGCTGTGGGAAGAGCTCTAACTCTCAACACACAGCCTTGACATCAAATTGTTAGCTATTTGCTTTTGGATTGCCAGTGGTCAATGCTAGCATGCGAATACTGAGGGTATGAGTCACAGTTGGTTTTTCTTTCTCTCTCTGTTTCCTTTTCATTATCTTTCATTCAACAAATGTGCTGCACACATGGTAACAGCCAGGCAGCACGAGTAGAAAAGACATTATTTTGAAGCAGAAAGAAGCCTGTTGATGGAAATAGTACAATGACAAGAAGCCTAAGCTCATCTCCTAGCTATTTCAGAGACATTACATAAAGGAAATCACTTAGTTCAACTTCTAATCTGTAGAAAAGACCCATAATATTCTGTGATAATGGTGATATGAGAATTAAATTAACATATAAAAGTATGTTCTGCATAGTAATGAGATCTGTTAATGATGATTACTGTGGACACTGACACGTATTTTAGTGAGCATCTATTATACACCAGGAACTGAGTAAGCGCTATGAATAAAAACGTCCTGCTTTCAGGAAGAGTGATGAAATTTCTTCTAATCCAGATTGAAAAATGGAGTGATGCACTCAAATACAGAGGACAACAAACCAAGTACCTGCTCTGATAACTCAGAAGAAAAAGACAGGAAGTATGCCACTTTAGAAAGCAATCATGGTAGAGGGTGGTAAACCTTACACTATATTTTTTCCATCTCAAGCATGAAATAGAGTTCTTATTAGCATGATAGGCCAATTATGAAAAGTAGCATTCTACTAATATTTACAAAATAATTCAAACTGAATTGACCATTCCCTACCACTATCAAAATTGCCCTATAAAAATATAGATGATTTTCTAAGGGCTAACCACTTTTTTCCACCTGACTTCCATCTTTTAGCATCAAGTTATTACGATAACATTTGTTTTATCAGTGAACCCCCATTCACAGTTTAGAGAAACAGAATATGATCACAGAAAGAAAACGTTCAAAACCTTTAAATGTCCGCATGTTTCAATATTCATTCTCCCTCCAGGATATTTTTCTTATTGCCCCTCTTCTGCCCCTACCCCCAAACTGAAGGCATAGATACAACAAAAACCAATTTCCTGTTTCACAGCTGCTCAAGCCAACCCAGTGTTTCTTCACAGGGGAGAAAGTGAACAGACTAGAGTAGCCCAGGGCTTGGGTGGGGCCCTCGGGGCACTTAGGGAACAGGAGCCAGAGACGCTAGACTTTCCATCAGGTAGCAGATAATCCTACTTGGCAGGGAAGTTTCCCTTATACCCTGTAACTTGTCAGACATTCACCCAGGTGGAAAATAGATTACCATTTTCTGAATCTATAGCCAAGCTCCACATCACGTAGAGTACAAATCAGTGTGTGTTTTGTTCCCCTAGAAAGTATTTATTGTGTAAATTGAGGGGAGATTGCACATTGATTTGTTCAGACCCTTTCCAAGAATTGTTGATCAGTTTGGGAAAACTACATCAAAGGCAATGCCACTTGGTAATACTCGCAGGTTGATGTCATTTACTGAATATAAGTAGTAACAGTAATGACAACCTGACAACAGCCACAAAATCACTCTGAGTGTGCCGAATCCTCAAACTCACTTATAACACAGAGAAGAGTAGAGCACATCAGCTCACAGATGAAGAAATGCTCTAATTTGTGGATATCACATATTCTAATTCAAGCAAACTAAAAAATTTAGGAGCCATTAGAGATATACGGGCACTGAATATTAATAATATTAAGGAATCGTTTCAGTTGTGACATGGTGTTATGTATTTTTTAAATGCATTTCTTACATTTTTGAGCTCCATAATGGAAGATTTATACATGAAAGATACAATGTCTCGATTTACTTCAGATTCATATTGACAGGGTAGGCAACTGGTACGGTAGTTACGATGCTTGGTTGAGACACTCACATCCCACAAAGGAGTGGCAGTGAGGATGGCTCATGGCCCAAGTCTCTGCCCCCCACATCGGAGACCTTGATTGAGTATGGCTCCCAGCATGGGAATGGCCCTGCCCCAGCCATTGTGGGCACCTCGGGAATGACCCAACAGATGGGAGCATTCTCTTCCTCTCTCTGGCTCTCTATATGTGAGAAAAATAAAAATGAAAAAGAAAAAAATGTAGAGGATAGAGAGTAGATGAGGATGTAGATGAAAAATACGGGTCATGACTTGTAATTGTTGACACTCGATAGATACCACCAGGAGATTCTAAGGTGATTCCCTGCGCATCATGTCAAGTTGATGCTGTATCTGTGGACATTCTCAGTTTGGGACACGTAGACTTGAAACACTGGTTATTTTATCATTTTGCTCTCTCCAGCTCATGATGGACAGGGTCCAGTGACAGTGGATGGGGTTAAGTACAAGGAGCATGGCCAAGAGCTGCAACAGCCTCCATTCTACTGCTCTGATCTCGGCTCTACCAGATGGGAATTGCCCCATTTCTCCATTGAGGAAATAGGAATTCAGAGTGACGGTAACTCCTCTAAGACTACGTGGCCAGCAAACAGCAGAGCCAGGGTTCAGTTCACCCATCTGATACAAAGACCCCTTCACTTCACTCTCTGCTGCTTTCCTTCTTGCCTGATGTCATCCTTATTCCTGCGACAACTGCCTGGACATTAATCCAGCCCTGTGCCAGCTCTCTCCCATTCTTTCTTCCCACCCTGGTCTCAGATCACTCTCTCTTCCCCATGCGGGTTGCCTTGTCCTCACCCTGTTCTCTCTGGCCTAACCCCTGTTGAGCAAATACCAGAGTTTCACATAGGGAATTGAAGTTTCCCAGAGTAGATACAGGAGAAAATCAGACAATGAAAAGTAGATTTCAGGCTGTGAACTTTTTACCTTGATTACAAAATTTAAAATAATAATAAAAAGTGGCAAAATTCCACATTCTGCAATCTAAAAAAAAAAAAACAGGCAAAATTAAAAATATATGCAATTTTGAAAGAGCTGAAAAACACAAAGAACTGGCTTTATACAGCCTAGCTCTCATCTCCACATATGGAGAACATTTGCACGGCAGGGGATTTATTAAATTGGTAATATAAATAATACGTCTTGCTTGAATGAAGGCAGTCTGTATATATAAAGAGAATTTTCCTCCCCTACCCCAGGCCATGAGTAATGCACAGTTGAGGATTGCAATGTAAAACATTATGACATGTTTCATTATCTAAGACTCAAGAGTTTGGAATGCAATTGCAGCAATACAATTTCAAAGTTACATCTCCCAGAGATAGTATGAATTCTAATGACGAGACATCTTGCTAGTCTAAAAACTCTACTGGGTCCATTCATGTCCTTCATGGTGATCAACATGCAAATAACACAGGCTCAACCTCAGACACAGGGTCATGTTGAGGTCCTGCTGGAGGTATCTAAAGAGAGCTGAAAAGGCTCGTTTGTTGCAAGAGTCAGGTCACAGATAGTTCGTGCAAATAATCTCTATAGAGTAGAGAGGCCTAATACTGGAGGCAAAACATCACTGCAAACCTGGGTTAGCATTTGTGATGGATGCTTGTCAGACACCCATTTGAATCCTCTGACAATCACATCCAATCCAGCAACGGTTTCCGCGTGCTCACTGCTATAGAGTTCCTTGGCTCATAGGTCACCTGCATTTTCGGCATGGCCCATTCTTGTGAATCTTTTCTGTTCATACACTTTAGAAGGACATAATAATTTTTTTTTTCTAACACAGGGTACTTCAAACTTATTCAGGGGTTAGAGAGCCAGTGCATTTGTTCTTACTGGTGGACTCCTCATGCTCTCTATAGGGTAATTAAAACAGTACAAATAAAAATTTTAATTTGGGCCCAATGCGACAGCCTAGTAGCTAAAGTCCTGTCCTTGCATGCATTGGGATCCCATATGGGCGCCGGTTCTAATCCCAGTGGCCCTGTTTCCCATCCAGTTCCCTGCCTGTAGCCTGGGAAATCAGTTGAGGATGGCTCAAAGCTTGGGTTCCTACATCTACCTGGGAGACCTGGATGAAGCTCCAGGCTCCCGGCTTCGGAATGGCTAAGTTCCAGTCATTGCAGCCACTTGGGGAGTGAATCAACGGACAGAACACTTCTGTCTCTCCTCCTCTCTGTATATCTGGCTTTCCAATTAAAAAAATAATAAATCTTTAAAAAAAATATTTTCGGGCCTGGCGGCATGGCCTAGCAGCTAAAGTGCTCGCCTTTAATGCGCCGGGATCCCATATGGGTGCTGGTTCTAATCCTGGCAGGTTCACTTCCCATCCAGCTCCCTGCTTGTGGCCTGGGAAAGCAGTCAAGGACGGCCCAAAGCTTTGGGACCCTGCACCCGTGTGGGATACCCAGAAGAGGTTCCTGGTTCCCGGCTTCGGATTGGTGCAGCACTGGCCATTGCAGTCACTTGGGGAGTGAATCAGACGGAAGATCTTCCTCTCTGTCTCTCCTCCTCTCTGTATACCTGACTTTGTAATAAAAATAAATAAAAGCTTACGAATATATATTTTCATTTGGGCTCCCCTGCCGGGCCACTGCTCCTACTGGCAAGCGTGAGAACTGGGATCGGAGGTATAGAATAGGCTGGGCAGGGCAAACACTTGTTGGCCCGCAAGTGAACTGAGTTAGGGGGTATAGAACAGGCTGGGTAAACTGACTAGCTGGGTCCCAGTTCTCATTCTGGTACTCACCAGTGGGAGTTATAACCCATCAGAGAGGTGCCCACAGTATCCTGGCTGGGCCCACTCTCGGTCCTGGATCTTACACTCTACAGGGGTTCTGCAATCTAACTTGACAGGATTTGCCTCCCCCACAGCACTTGCCAGTTAATGCTGCAGCAAAGCCCAACTAGCCTGCCCTTATTCTGGCTTATGCATTCACCAGTGGGTACAGTCAGTTAACCCAGCCTGTTCTAT